AACAATGGAACAATGAGAGATTAAAGCAGCTGAGGGATAACCTAGCATAACTCTCTCTCTCTCTCTCTCTCTCTCTCTCTCTCTCTCTCTTTCTCCTTGTAGTCTCAGGATCTATCCTTGTATCCATATAGTCTCTCTGCAGGGGCTACTTTGGGCTTTTTTATAGCCTGGCAGCCCTCCAGGCTATCATAGCCAGCTTTCAAAATTGTCCTCAATGATTTCCACCTCCTGGTATCTCCTATACCACTGTATAGTCTTTTCCCACACTAAATAGGGCTGACCTGACCCAAGAGGGTAATAAAGGAATGACTATGTCACTTTTAAGGCTGTCACAGAGATATTGTGGCTCCCGTCTTGCTTCCTCTTAGATCACTCATTCTGAGGGAAGCCACCCACAGATAACAAGAACACTCAATTTCAATAGTCCAGAGAATAAATGTCTTTCGGTTTTTTAATATATTTTATTGATTATGCCATTACAGTTATCCTATTTCCCCCCTTCATTCCCTTCCACCCTGCATACCCCTCCCCCACCATTCCCCCCTCTTGTTTATGTCCATGTGTCACAAGTTCTTTAGATTCTATATTTCCCATACTAATCTTGCCCTCCGCCCTGTCTATTTTCTACCTACCATCTATGCTACTTATTCTCTGTACCTTCTCCCCCCTTCTCCTCCTCCCACTCCCCTGTTGCTAACCCTCCATGTGATCTCCATTTCTATGGTTCTACTCCTGGATCTAGCTGTCCTCTTAGTTTGCTTTTGTTTTAGATGTGGTTGTTAATAACTGTGAGTTTGCTGTCTTTAGATAAGTCTATTTTTAGATAAGTCTAAAGTCTAAGTCTAAGTCTTATCTTTTTTAGATAAGTCTAAGTCTCTTCTTTTTCTTAGATAAGTCCCTTTAACATTTCATATAATAAGGGCTTGGTGAGGATGAACTCCTCGAACTTGTCCTTATCTGAGAAGCACTTTATCTGTCCTTCCATTCTAAATGAAAGCTTTGCTGGATAGAGCAATCGTGGATATAGGTCCTTGCCTTTCATGACTTGGAATACTTCTTTCCAGCCCCTTCTTGCCTGTAAGGTCTCTTTTGAGAAATTAGCTGAAAGTCTTATGGGAACTCCTTTGTAGGTGACTGTCCTCTTATCTCTTGCTGCTTCTAGGATTCTCTCCTTCATTTTAATCTTGGCTAATGTAATGATGATGTGCCTTGGTGTGTTCCTTCTTGGGTCTAACTTCTTTGGGACTCTCTGGGCTTCCTGGACTTCTTGGTAGTCTATTTCCTTTGCCAGATTGGGGAAGTTCTCCTTTATTATTTGTTCAAATAAGTTTTCCACTTGTCGCTCTTCCTCTTCCCCCTCTGGTACCCCTATAATTCGGATGTTGGAATGTTTAAAGATGTCCTGGAGGTTCCTAAGCCTCTCCTCATTTTTTTTGAATTCTTGTTTCTTCATTCTTTTCTGCTTGGTCATGTTTTTCTTCCTTCTGGTCCACTCCATTAATTTGAGTCCCAGTTTTTTCCTTTCCATCACTATTGGTTTCCTGTGCATTTCCCTTCATTTCAATTAGTGTAGCCTTCATATATTCCTCTAATTTGTGACTAAAGCCAACCAGTTCTGTGAGCATCCTGATCACCAGTGTTTTGAACTGTGCATCTGATAGGTTGGCTATCTCTTGGTTGCTTAGAATTATTGGCTCTGGGGCTTTGAGTTGTTCTTGAGCCATAATGTTTTGGTCTGTTTGCTCCTGTTAGGTATGAAGGGCGGAGCCTTAGGTGTTCACCAGGGCAGGGCAACCCAGTTGCTGGGTTGTGACCCTGTATGCAGGGGCGGGGTGAGAGAGGGGCAGTAGCGGTCCCCTCTGCTGCTTCCCATAAGCCGCTGGGGCCTGCACGGTCTGTCTCACTGCTTGCTCCTTCACTTGGTTTATCTGCGCACAAATGTGTGACCACAGTCAGGCTGCCGCCTTGCACCCTCACTGGGTCTGCCTGGTCCTACCCCACACCTGGGATCTGTCAAACGCCACCTGTGCGCCTGGGTTGGTCTGGTCCATTTTTCCTGCGCAACCCCCCTCTGCCAGCTGCTGGCTCTGCCCCTCTTACTGGTCTGGCTGAATGGTTCGTTGTTGTTGGACTTTAGTATAGTTCAATTTTCTGTGTTTTGGTTGTGTTTTTGTTACTAAAACTTTGTTGTCTTTAAACTTGGTTGTGCAAGGAGGCACAGTGTTTTCACCTACACCTCCATCTTGGCTTGAAGTCTTCTTTCATTTTTTAAAAGTATTTTATTTATTTATTTTCAGAGAGGGGAAGGGAAGGAGAAAGAGAAACATCAATGTGTGGTTGCTTCTCATGTGTCCCCCACTGGGAACTGGCCTGCAACCCAGGCATGTGCCCTGACTGGGAATCGAACTGCAATCCTTTGCTTCACAGGCTGGTGCTCAATCCACTGAGTTACACCAGCCAGGCCTCATTTTTTTTAAACAAATGTTTATTAAGCACTGTTATGTGCCAGGATTAGGGGCTAGAGATAAATCAGTACAGCAGACAAATATTCATGCTCTGGTCTTAAATTTTATAAGAGGAGAAGAAAATGAGCAAAATAATAACTACATAAAGTATACAGTATGCTGGGGGTACTAAAAGCTACGGTTAAATAAAGCAGTCAGGGTGTGCTTCATTCAGTCGACATTTGGGCCAAAGCTTGAAGGACATGAGGGCATAAGCTATGTAAATATCTAGGGGGTGCTCCAAGTAGAATGAACAGCCCCTGAGAGGCTCCGAGGTGGATGGTGCCTGGTTTGTTTAAGGAACAACAGGGAGGCCAGTGTGGCTGGAGCCAGGGAGTGTGTATGTATGTGTGTGTGTGGTGGGGGCGGGGGTGGTGGTGAGAAACCAGAAGAAAGCAGGGATTGGTGGGCGGGCTTTCTGGGCCTCAGTTCTCTCCCTGTAAAATGACTAGAGTAATAGTACTTACCTCAGAGTGTTGTTATGAAGATAAAATTAGTATACATAAGGCTCTTAGAATAGTATTCTGGAGGGATCGTGGAGTGCATGTGCGTTCTCTGCCGCCAGGAGGCAGCAGCAGAGTGTTCGGATCGGCCGAGTGTTCGGACTCTTCAAGGCGGAGTCAAACTAGGTGAGGTCTGGCGCCTCCCCAAACTGTGGCAGCCACCGCCAGCGCCTGTACAGGTCCACACAGCGGCCACGTGAGCGCCGAGTTCTGGCGCACTGAAAGCACTTGGAGTTCCTGCGACTCTGCTCAGGCTGTCCTCCCGTCTGGAGCAACCTTTCCTCTCCCTTCTTCCATTGGCTCAAGCAGTGCCTGCTTCAGGAGCTGAGGGGACTCCTGGCTTTACTCCAGGGTATTAATGATTTGCTGCGAAAGAAAGGGTGGGGAGGGGTTAGAGGGCGAAGAGGAACTCCAGAGACTCAGGAAGGCCCTTCCTCACGGTCTTTGCGGATCTTCCCCCAGTTCCTCAGGCAGGCCAGCCCTGGCAAAGGGTCCTAACTCTGCTAAAAGTTCAAGACAGCCTTCCAGCTCCAAAGATATCACGTGCCTCATTTAAAAACTTTTTCTTTAAAAACTTTTTCTTTAAAAACTTAAATAAATTTTAAATTTTAAATTAAAAAATTTTTAAAGGTTTTATTTATAGAGATGGGAAGGGAGGAAGGGAAGGAGAGGAGAGAAACATCAATGTGTGGTTGCCTCTCAAGTGCCCTCTACTGGGAACCTGGCCCACACCTAAGTCATGCACATTGAGTGGGAATCCAACTGGTGACCCTTTGGTTCTCAGGCGGGCACTCAAACCACTGAGCCACACCAGACAGGGCTAATTAAAAAACTTATAAAATATTTATAAAATACAAAGTCATAGTAAAAAAAAACAATCAGTACAAGTACACACATACTGAAAAGTCTCTGATCATCTCTTGCTTGGAAAAAGTAATTATCTTTTCACTGGTTTCTCTGCCTTTGGTCTCCCTAATCCCACCCTCCTAATTACAGAGAGTTCTTACCTGGACAAGTTAAAAATTTTCCGTGGCTTTTTACTACTTCAGGACAAGTGCAGACACTTTTGCACTTTTTTTTACTACTTCAGGACAAGTGCAGACACCTGACTCTGGACACCCCATTCAGCTCCCTCCTCTCCTTCCCAATCTCCTTATGGCTGCAGCCATATCCTCAGACTATCCAGGTCTATCTCTATCTTGCCATCATGCCCTTCCCACACTAGCTCCCTTACCTGGCCATGGCCTACACACGCTGCACCCTATCTGATGCTCCCACAGTCTCCTGTGCAGCCATCATCACAGCTTATGACACAAACTGTTTTCAGGACAAGGAAATTTTTTGTTTGTTTTTAAAATTTGATTCAACATTCAATCTCCTCTCCTGGCACAGACAAGTCATCCAAACAGTGTTAGATGCAGGCATGAATAAATGAAAACGAATGAGAATACCTAATACACAGTGCTAATTCTGTGCCTCACATTGTTTCAGGCACATTACATATGTGAACCACACAACAACCCCAAGGTTGCTACATCCTCATTTTACCAATACAGCACTTAAAAGCATTGAGCAGTTTAAGTAACTTGCCCCAAATAGTAAGTGGCTGAGCTGGAGTTTGAACTAGGCAGTCTGATTTCCAATAAATAAACCAAGAACTGGAAGGAGAAAATCAGAGCTCAGGGAAGGAGTCCAGGTAGGGTTTGGTCAATGCTCTTTACACCTAAGGATCTTTTCGCCCTCTGGCGTTTCTCCCCCGGGGAGCCCACTTTATTAGATTACGAAACAGAAGGCCGAGGGGACCACAGGTAATTCCGGGGACCCTATGGAGGGAGCCGTGGTATTTATTTGGTGTTTCGGGAGTAGGGACAGAGCCAGGATGGGCTGACACCCGGGTTGCCAGTCCTCCACTCTAAACTACAACTCCCAGGAGGCACCGGACACCCCCCCCCCCAGCCCGCGTGACAGCGGCAGAGTGCACGGGCTGCTCCGCGAGCCCCGCCCTTCGATGCTAGGCGGTTCCGCTTGGACTACGGCGCGGGCTCCGGCCCCACGGTAAGTGGAGCAACAGGCGAAGACCCTGGACACGTAGGCTTCGCAGCGAGTGCTCGCAACCTCCGCCATTGTGTTGGACCACGGGAGTGCGCGGGATGCAGGGCTGGCATCTACCATATGGGGCGATCCAGGCCGAACCAAGCGATCTGCGGAGAGGGAACCCAGACCGGGACTCCAGTTCGCGGCTTTGATGCAGCTGGCCCTTGGGCGCACTATGCTCTGTGGAGCACACGCGCACGCCAGGCGGGTGTAGGGAGGTGAGAGGTTGCGGGTGTGCCTGGTGTGGAGATCCTGGCTAGGGGTCACCCCGCCCCCTGGACTAGGGTGCCTGGGCGAGGTTTTGAGCTGGACAGGTCTGAGGATCTTCGCTCTAGACCACCAAATAGAGCCTCAGATTGAAGAATAGAAGCTCCGGAAAGCGAGGTTGTCCAGGTTTGGACTGTGCATGTGTGTGTATATTTGGGGAGGTGGTTGAATGGGTTAGGGTTAGGGAGATTGCCCAAGGTCTTAGGATATATCAGTGCTTACGTGGAGAGATATTCAGGGGCTACGGACTCTATCCTTATAACTCTTCCTTTCCCCCATCCTGATAGATGGGAGCTGCTTCCTAGGGCTGAGCTTGTCAGCATCCTCCAACAGGCCTCGCTCCTAAAGTCAAGAGAAGAGCCCTTCCTTGCCTACCTACCCATACCTCCCTAACCCCGTTTGGGGGTCGCCTCCGTCTACCCAGCCCAACAAAGGAGCAGGACGATGATATTGGCGTCGGTTCTGGGAAGTGGCCCCAGGGGCGGTCCTCCACTCCGGCCCTTCCTTGGGTCTGCACTCTTGCTCCGGGCCCTCTCCACATCAGCCACCGATACTCACCATGCCGAGATGGCAAGGGAGCGCTCCAAGACCGTTACCTCCTTTTACAACCAGTCTGCCATTGATGTGGCAGCAGAGAAGGTGGGCAGCTGGGGCAGCGAGGCCCGGGTCCGCAGCTGGAGTGGGTGTCCAGGGAAGGGGTGGAGCTAATATGGCAGGGCAAAGTACTGGAGATCCGGTGCTCAAGCCCCATCTGCCCCTCCAGCCCTCAGTCCGCCTCACTCCCACCATGATGCTCTATTCTGGCCGCTCTCAGGATGGAAGCCACCTTCTGGTAAGATACCTGCTCATTGTTTTTCTGTTGGTCTCTGGAGCTCTGGCCCAGCCACTCAGACCCAGACCCTGCCTTCTACCTTTTTTTCTTCTAGAAAAGTGCTCGGTACTTGCAGCAAGAGTTGCCAGTGAGGATTGCTCACCGCATCAAGGGCTTCCGTAGCCTTCCTTTCATCATTGGCTGCAACCCCACCATACTACATGTGGTAAGGTGACCTGTGTAGGGGGACATGGGTTTCCCTAGTAGAGGGGACGGTAGATCAGAGGGCCTACCACCCAAGGGGCAAATGGGGCAACGGGCCTAGAGCGGCAGAGACTTGCCAGCCAAAAGATTTCAGGATTGATCATAGAGGACTCAGACCCAACCCTTCAGAGGCCAAGGCTGCGTATTCATGGAGGCTTGAAACCACCCCATGGTGGTTTGAACCTAGTCAATTGGGGTGGTGGCAGTCCCCTTGGGTTGACATAGGTAGTTATTCTCTACCGAGGGCCCACAGCATCTTTGTGAATTCTGACACCTCTTCCTTGCAGCACGAGCTGTACATCCGTGCCTTCCAGAAGCTGACAGACTTCCCTCCGGTGAGGGCTGGGCCAGGACAGGGTGAGGGGTTGAGAGATCAGGGCTGAATTGTCCATGCTTATGACTCTGGCCCACAGATCAAGGACCAGACGGATGAGGCCCAATACTGCCAGCTGGTGCGTCAGCTGCTGGACGACCACAAAGACGTGGTGACCCTCTTAGCTGAGGGCCTACGTGAAAGCCGGAAGCACATACAGGTCTGCGGCAGTGCAGTGGGTCCTGTTGGGGGGCCTGGGAAGGACATAGCATTTCTGAGGCCCTACTGTTTATAGGATGAGAAGCTTGTCCGCTACTTCTTGGATAAGACACTGACCTCTAGGCTTGGGATCCGCATGTTGGCCACACATCATCTAGCACTGCATGAGGACAAGGTGGGGTGCTGGGACCTGAGACCCACCCGGGAATGTCAAATGTGGCAGAGAGGACTGAGCCAGGGGCCCATTGGGCTGGGGGCCTGGGCAAGGACCTGGGGAGGGGCTTGGGACCACTTCAGCAGGCCAGAGGTTGCAAGCACTTGGTGACTCAAGTGCGGGTGGAGGGCTGCGTCGTCCTGACCTTCTTTCTCCTGCCAGCCTGACTTTGTCGGCATCATCTGCACTCGCCTCTCACCAAAGAAGATTATTGAAAAGTGGGTGGACTTTGCCAGGTGAGGCTAGAACAGCTCAGCAGGAGTGGGGGGTGGATGTCTTTGTCCAGGGAAGGCTTGGCTCTGAGCCCTTGCCTGGGGTACGGTCTGGATAGGGTTTCTCAACCATGGCACTATTAACACTTTGGGTTAGAAATTTTTATTTTGTGAGGGATTGTCCTGTGCTTGTTAGAATGTTTAGAAGGATACCTGATGTCTATAGTATTCCCCAGTTGTGACAAAAATGTCTTAATTTCCCTGGGTGGGGGGGCCAGGCATGAAGAAGGAAGCACCTCCAGTTGAGAACCACTGGTCTAGGTCTGAACCCTTGCTCCTATCCACAGACGTTTGTGTGAGCACAAGTATGGCAATGCCCCCCGGGTCCGCATCAATGGACATGTGGCTGCCCGATTCCCCTTTATCCCTATGCCGCTGGACTACATCCTGCCCGAGCTGCTCAAGAATGCCATGAGGTGGGCTTGTTGGATATGTTGAAAGAGGTCAGATAGGAACTGGAGTGAGGCTGGGATACCACCACCTACTACTGGTCTTTCTCCCCCATATAGAGCCACAATGGAGAGTCACCTAGACACTCCCTACAATGTTCCAGATGTGGTTATTACCATTGCCAACAATGATATTGATCTCATCATCAGGTTTGCCCAGAGTGGGAGTTGGGTTGGGGTGGACAAGGGGTTCCAGGCTATATGACTTGATATATGACCTCAAGCCAGTACCAGTCCCACTCTGTGAGACTTGGTCACTGGTCAAACAAGCTATTCTGTGGTCCTGAGACTGCCATGAGCTGGATAAGAATGAGTCTGGGGCCAGCTGCAGGTTCCAGGGCCCCGTTCTTATTAGCACCTGAGGGGCCTAGAATGGGAAAAGAGGAGTAGCCAGTCTATGATGCTGGGCTGAGAATAAGTGTGAAATCCTGTGAGAAGGTATTAGCAGCCAGTGGCGCAGGCAGATGTGAGGATAGAGAAATGCAGCTTAAAAGAAACCAAGGTCCAAGGGTCTAGGTGGACCTTGCCGCCTTTGGGTAGAAGGGACAGGGTGATACTGTCTGTCTGGGAGGTAGTGAGCACCCCTATCAAGCTGAGCCAAGCTCATATTATTGACATTCTGCCAGGATTTCAGACAGAGGCGGGGGAATCGCTCACAAAGACCTGGATCGGGTTATGGACTACCACTTCACTACAGCTGAGTCCAGCACCCAGGATCCCCGGATCAACCCACTCTTTGGCCACTTGGACATGCACAGTGGTGGCCAGCCAGGACCCATGCATGGGTGAGACCCCACCTGGCCATTGTGGAGGGGTGTGGGGCTCTAGTAGACTTAAGCCTCTGAATCCCCTATCCTGTTCCCTACCCCTGCCTCAGCTTTGGCTTCGGGCTGCCCACATCACGGGCCTACGCAGAGTACCTTGGTGGTTCCCTTCAGCTGCAGTCCCTGCAGGGCATTGGCACAGATGTCTATCTGCGGCTCCGTCATATCGATGGCCGGGAAGAAAGCTTCCGCATCTGACCCCACTGCCCTTGGCTTGCTCACCTGCCAAGCTTGGGCCATACACCCTACCAGGACCTTCTGGGAAGACAGGGTGTCACTCTGCTCCACACACTGCTGCATCTTGGGTCTTAGGACCCCAGACAGATGGACTTACATGGAGCCTGGTGCCAACCTCCTCAATAGGGTCCACTGCTTCCTTGTCTCCAGGTCTTGGAGAGAGGAAGTGGGGACCCTTGAGGCCTCCAGCACCAGCTTCATCTTTCTCATTCCTGGGGAACCCTGTTTTGACCTGCTGTTTGTTATTAAAGTTCACATTTTGAATGCCCTCTTGAACCCTGTGTGGGGAGGGCAGGTGAGCTTTTGTTTCTGATCCCATTCAGGTTTCCTGGGCCCTTGGGTGCAACTAATTCGTACTCAGTCTCTTGATTGTCCTGACAGCCTGGCAGACCAGCGGTAGAATTGGCCTCAAGTCTCTTGCACATTTGATTTGGTGGGAGTGGGGGAGACTCTGTCAGTTTGTGCAAAGACCTTTCATTCATTTCATTTAACAAATGTGTCTGCTTCCCAGACAACGTCGACCCAGCTTCAGACCTCAGTTCCGACTCTTTCCTTCTTGGCAGTCACAGGAGGTAAAGGTCATCAGACTGGGCAACCTCCTAAGCCACCTGATTCCTGAGCCCGAGTAAGGTTAAACATACTGCCCACCACCTGTGCCTATTGCCTCCAAGGAAAGGAACACTCCAGATTGTACCCTGGCATGCCCCAACGATGGTGGGGCTCTGGGAGGGAGGGCAAAAGGGCTCCACAAAGCAGTGGGGCCTTCCTGCCCATCTTGCCAGGGAAAGAGAAGAAAGGTCCAAGAGCCTGCTTGGCGGGACTGCTGACGGAGGTGGGGGATCGAGGGAGACAGGAAACCAGGGACTTGCCGGGCTGAAAATTCTGCTGGCTACAGTGCAGGTGGGTGAGGCTGGGGAGTTAAGCAGCAGCAGTCAGGGTGTAGGGCCTTGACTGTACAGCCAAGGATCACAGGCTTTATCCTGGAGGCAACAGGGATCCATGCATGTGTTTCAAGCTAGGAAAGGATGTATCAGGCTGGGTTCCCTAGAAGCAGACCCTGAGATGGAGACTTGCATCCAAGTGATTTGTTGAGGAATGTTCCTGGAAGGGAGTAGGCGAAGCAGGAAAGGGAAGGGCAGGAAGCCAGGCAAGGTTCTCAGACAAAAGTCCAGAGCCAGTCAGTTCTTCCACAGAGGGCTAAGCTTCTTAGCTCTCTCCACAGACTAAGCTCCACAGACACTGGATAATGTCTGTGTTGGAAGGTACTTGAAACAGTTTTCAGCTATCTCAGGCAAAACACCTCTTAGCCAGAGGGGCAGTTCACCAAAGAATGGTGCCGCATTTTGAAAGCACATAGAATATAATCTGGGCACACAGAAGCATGGAAAAGAGATCCCAGGAGATCGGTGTGCAACATCTACAGTTCTTGGAGCAAGGGCAGATTTGCACATTAGAACTACCACTGGTGGCTGGTGGATATGAGGGAGAGCAGTGAGGAGGTCAGTGGAGGGACCCTAATCAGGGATTTATAAAGCCTAAAGTAATTCTTAACTATCCCTATTTGAAGATACCAGGTGAAGTAAAAAGTTAGGCACCAGAACCCTGGGCAGAAAGAATAACAATCTTGAAGATGGGGCGGGGTGGAGAATGGGAGAAAACATTTCTATTTAAATTTTGTATCCCTTCTGTTATTTAATAACTGCCTGGCATTTACTGCCCCTCCTCTCAAGCTCCATTTCCCCAAAGTCAAGTTACCAGCACTTAAACTGCCAACCTCCAGAAAGATCTAACTCAGATACTTCTTTTCTTTAAAAAAAAAAAAATTACGGAGAGGAGATGGGACGAAGACAGGAAAAGAAACATCATTGTGTGAGAATGAAAAGAGTCACCTCTCACATACCCCCAACCAGGGACCTGGCTCACAGCCAGGCATATGCCCTGATCAGCAATACAAACTGGCAAACCTCTCTGCTCACAGGCTGGTGCTAAATCCACTGAGCCACACTAGCCAGGGCTCTTCTTTTTTTTTAAAGATTCTTCGGAGAGAGGGAGAGAAATACTGATGAGCAAGGGAAATATTAATGGGTTGCCTCTTGCACACCCCCATCAGGAAACTAGGCTTGAAACCAAGGCGTGTGCTCTGACCAGGAATCAACTGGGGACCTTTCACCTATCCCTGAGATGCCTTACCAACTGAGCTACATGGGTCAGGGTGGATATTTCTTCATCTGTAACCCCTGAGTGCCATTCTCAGGCCCTGAGCATTTCACCACTCTTAGAATTGTTTGTTTGGGTCTAATAACCAAATTATAAATAATAAAAAAGATTCAGAGAGTGGCCAAAAGGAATGTATAGAGAATCTACCCTGTCTGGCACTGTGCAGTGCACCTGCTTTATAAACATACATAAGAGGTATTACACAGTTTAACCCTCACCAATGCTCTGAGAATGGACGCTTGTACAACTTACCCAGAGTTGGGTCAGAACTCAGGATTCCAAACTCGCTAAGCCCAAGACTTTTCCATTATGTCCACTGCCTCTGGCTAGTTTCTGTTCAGAGGATGTCTAGTTTGGGGGTCCTGGTCCATTCTTTAGAAAGGCTTGATTCTGTTAGTGAGTTATTGGCTGTCCCTGGACAGTTCCTGCTTCCCCTACCCCAACTGTATCCTTTAACCGCCCTGACCAAGGAAGGCCTTTTCTTCAATATTCAAAAAAGGGAAGACCGGTATAAAGTTGGCGAAAGTGGTTAGTGTTAATTTCAGGCCCACAGACCTAAAATCCGACAGCCAAGGAGCTCCGGATGTTCTGGCTCCGCCTGGTTAAAGTGGAAACAGCGCCCCCTGAGAACTGGCACGTCTTGGCTTCCTCAGGCACTAGGGCCTTTAGAAAGATCAAGCTGAATCATAACATCAGGAAAGTCCTCTCTCCAATTCTAGGGCGCAGCCATTCTTCCATCGGGAAAGAAAGGAACTCTAGGGCAATTGGCAATTATACTTCAAGCTTGTCCCGACACCGCGGAGACGGCCACCCCAACCAATGGGAATTTGCCACATAACAGACCCCACCCCTAAGCTGGCTGCGGCCTCCGCTGCAACACGCAGACCCGGAGCCAAATGCGCTGCGCGGCGCTGGATTCTGGCGTCATTTCCACTACAGTGATGGCGGCCCAGGGAGTAGCCGCTGCGGTTGCAGCGGCGACTTCAGGGGTCGCCGGGGAGGGCGAGCCCGGGCCCGGGGAGAATGCGGCGGTTGAGGGGACCGCTCCGTCCCCGGGTCGGATCTCTCCGCAGACCCCGGCGCGCGGCGAGCCGGAAGTCACCGTGGAGATCGGAGAGACTTACCTATGCAGACGGCCTGACAGCACCTGGCGTGAGGGCGGAGTCCGGGGCCGGAGGAGGGGTGTTCACTGGGCGGGGTCCGGGCAGAGAGGGCTCTGTGAGGTGCTGGGAATAGTGAGGGGCGGAGCTTGGGGAAAGAACGCTGAGTTTCGGGACTACGACTAGCCCCGCCAGTCAGGGGTTTGTCACCAAATTCTTATATTTATTGAGCTCCCATTCCACTTCCCTTGCCCAATCTAGGCTTCATTCTTTTGTTAACCGTGCTTCCTTACTAGTCTTTCCTCTCTGCGACTTCCCCTTCCACTTGTCCCCTACAGCAGCTCGCGGAGAGGACCTTCTTCCCTTCCCCTCTCCTCCCCTCCCCACCCCTCCAAAATTACGTAGAATGGCATTCATCCTTGTGACCCCTCTGGTTTCTTGCCACCCCTAGCAAAGGCCATTACCAGACAGGACCACGCTATACCCTTCGAATATCTTTTGCTGCCGGTGCCCCTGCATGGAATGCCCTTTCTTCCATTTCTCCCTGTTCATCTGCCCAGCTCCTTACTCATCCGTTTAACACCGAATCCCCCTGTGATGCCATTCCTGATTCCCTTCAGGCAAAGTGAATCATTCCCTTCTGTGTGTTTCTGCAATATTCATACCTCAGCTGTGGTATGTAACATTCTTGTCATTGTCTGTCTGTGTCCTCCCCTGTCAACTGCTGGAGGTCAGGAGTGCTTATGATTCATTGCCATGTCCTCTGTATCCAGCAACAACACAGCATCGGACCAGACATGCAGTGGTTGCCAACTGCGTGATCTGCTAGTTGTCAGTCACTCTACTAAAAACTTGAGAGGCATTTGAAGTCGGCGCTATTATCTCTTATTTTACAGATGAAGAAACTGAGGCTCAGAAAGTTGAAATAACTTGCTCAGTTAAAAGAGCTAGGAAATAGGGAGCTGGAATTATATATAAACCCTGATGTCTGACTCCAGAACCAGCCCTCATGACCGCTGAGCAAATAAACAACTAAATATAGTAAGCCAAGCATTGAATTTGAGTCAGGTTTAAGCTCAGTTAAGTATTAGCTCTTACCACTTTTTAAATCTGCAAGGTTACCACTTTTTAAATCTTACCTGGGTAAGCCTCAGTTTTCTAAAATGTAAAATAAGGATAACAGTCCCAACGTGGTGTACCTCACAGGCAGTGATTGCATTGAATGGCAGGTGGGGACAGGTGAGGTTAGCTTAAATGTGAAATCTGGAAACAGCTTCTCAGTGTTCCAGCTCTGCCTTCCTGATGATCCTAGCCTTTGTCCTTCACAGATTCTGCTGAAGTGATCCAGTCTCGAGTGAATGATCAGGAAGGCCGAGAGGAATTCTATGTACACTATGTGGGCTGTGAGTGACTTGGGGTATTTGGGCCTGGGCGGGGGAGAAGTGTAGAAGAGCAGCACCCTCATGGCATATCCTCACAGTTAACCGGCGACTAGACGAATGGGTAGACAAGAACCGGCTGGCGCTGACCAAGACAGTGAAGGATGCTGTCCAGAAGAACTCAGAGAAGTACCTGAGTGAGCTCGCTGAGCAGCCTGAGCGCAAGATCACTCGAAACCAAAAGCGCAAGCATGATGAGATCAACCACGTGCAGAAGGTCTGGGCTCTCTCCCCTTCCCCACAGCCCTATTAGGCTCAGCTGCCTCTGTCAACTCCTCTGGGTCCCTGTGCCAGAACCACAACAGCTGCCATTTCTTAAGCTCCTGTGGTGTGTCAGAGACTTTACCTACCTCTTCTCCTGTACTCTTTCCAGATGAGAAAACTGAGGGTCAGAGAGGGCAAAGGCTTGGCTGCAGTCTCACAGCAAGGAAGTGGCACGGCTGGTACTGGAACTCAGGCCTCCTGAACCAATAGCCTGTTTTGTCTCCTATTAGTTGTGCCATGTTAGACAAGCCAACTTTCAGTTCAAAGGGAAGGAAGAGAGTGAATGATAATTGGGCATTTGCTATTGCTCAGAACTGTGTTGAGTACTGTATGTGTAAAAACTCATTAAATCCTCCCTAACGGTTCAATACCATGGGGTAAAAGTAGGTTTACAGTTGTTTATGTGGAAAATAATGCAATAATTAATAAATAATAATACATTCTGTTTTACATACAACCAGAAACTACCCCCCCACCCCATATATATTTTTTGTAGATGAGAAACAGGCTCAGAGAGATTAGGTAATATACCTAAGGTCACACAGCTATTAAAAGGATGGGCTGGAAATAGAATAATAATGGCAAACATTTATTGGCTCGTGACCCAAAGTCTATAAAGGAGGTACAGATAGGTTTAGAGGCCCAGGCAGGAATTAGATTTGCCGTTGCCCTACTTCAGGGCACAAATCCTTAACCGTGACTTTGACAGATCCTAGTGACTCAGGCCACTTGTTTCCAAAACCTGGATTCTTTTCATCAAGCTGCCTATCTCTGGTGGGTTACTTTTCTCCCACTCTGAGCTTCAGTTTCTTGATTTGTAAAATGGGGAATGGAAGAGAACTGGATTTATTGAGCTCTCAAGGCACACAGACATTCATTAGTTTTGGCTAATGCAGTTTCTTCTAAGTGCTCATGTGCTTTGCAGCAAAGCGTTTCACCTGCGGCACAGCTGTTAATAGATTACCAAGTTAGTTCAGTGAGTTGTGACCAGCATTTGAATTTTCAAAATGGAAGAAAAAAATAGGATAAACTAGAAGAAATCGTCATGTATTGCACTTTATTAAAGGTAAGTATTATTTTGAGAAGTTATTTTACATGCAAATACATGTATGAATATACATGAACATTAATTTACAGCGTTAACTGCTCTTCCTACTGTGGTTCGTGATTAAAACAACATTTGAAAAACCCTTCAAGGTCTAGGACAGCACCGTCCAACTGAATGTCCTGTGATACATGGAAATGTTTTATGTCTGTATTGTCCATTAGAGTAGCCAGTAGCTACATATGGCTATTAAGAACTTGAAATGTGTTTAGTGTACCGAGAATTAAATTTTATTTATTTAATGGCTAGTGGCTACTCATTGGACAGCACAAATCTAGGTTCTCTCAGTTCCTCAACGCATTTGCACTGGCCAGTTAAGTCTTGGTGGTGGGTCTGTGCTCTGGCAGGCAGCCCGGCAGGTGACAATGGGCCTGTGGTAATAAAATCAAAGAATATGAATATTTGTGGAGTTAAAGGTAGCAAGATTCTTCAGAAGCTAATTAAAGTTTAATTCTAAATAAATGGCATTGTAGCTCTTTCATGCATTTGCTGCAGAGGATTGTGTTTTGTGAGCGTTGGGAAATGTGTTTTAAAGTGGTATGTGAGGAGGAAAATCTTTCTTTCCTCATCTTTACAGGGGTTAGACTTGGGAGTTGGGTATACCAAGGGTCTATGCCCAGCTGTGCTCAGGACCTTTTCTGTGACCTCGGGCAAGTGACCTTACCTCTTTGCGCCTCAGTTTCCTCTTTTGTGTAGTGTAGATAATGAGCAATCTTGTCTATGGCTTATTGTGAGGACTGAATGAAATAATGCCTGTGGAGTGCTTGGCACTTGGGATAATGGCAGGTAGCTCATGCCCAAGGGCAAATGACCTCACCTCTCTCTGCCTGTTTACTTCTCCATAAAATAGAAATGATTACTGTATATATAATGCCATATAGGCAAAGTGCTTTGTGGAAGGGGCTTCTGAGTAAAACATTGGCTCCTTTCTGCCTTCTCAGCTAGAGGATAAGGCTACTGTCTACTCTGGCATAGGTTGTAGGCCTTCTTGGGTCCCCACTTCATTGTCAGGCTGTGCTTACTTCCTCCTACGGAGTCTGGTCTAGGAACGGGATGTGCTGTGTGTGGGACATAACTCTTAGTCTCTTTCTAAGAACGTGGGAAATAGGGGAAGCCAGGTGGGGCAGTTAGAGGTTATTGTCAGTCGCTGTGTTCCTGACTTGGAAAGGGGAGGGTATATTCTGCATCAGAAGAATCCAGTCAGGCCTCCTAGAGGGGATGGGAGTGATGCTGAGCCTTGAGGGACAGGAAACAGCATAGTAAAAACAGTTATAACCTGATTGCTTACAGAGTTCTGCCTTATCACACAGTCACCTGGTTCACCCTCTGTCCTAGGTTGAGTAAGCGTTTTCTGGCAGCAGTAGGATGAGAAAGGGTGTTGAGGTGGAAGGGACTTTATGTGCAAAGGCACAAAGCCTGGAAAAAGAAGTGTTGGTAGCAGTGTAGGTTTGAAGGGGCTGAGGCTGGACTGGGAATGTAAGGAGACCCAGTCAACTGTCCAGACCTGAGATGGTGTCAGTGGCTATTTGGAGTAGGACAGAGAAGAGAATTCCAGAAAGGGACTGATTCCAAAATTTCAAGAAAGTAGAATTGACAGGACTTGGCCATTAATTGAATACCAGACTGAGAGAGGCAGGAATCTTAAGACAGGTCCATTATTGTAGGGACCTGGTCTCAGGTATTTGGACTGAGGGTGATGCTCCTGTTGAGATTGGAGCCCAGGAGGAGGAACAGGTTTATATGGAGGAAAGAATGAGTTCTTTTGTGAACACTTTGAGTCTGATATGCCTGTGAGAGGGAACTCTGGGAGCAGTCCCATGGGCAGGCAGCTCCTTGGGTGTGCAGGAACGAGGTCCAGGCATATTGAGGAGTCAGCAGCAGTTTCTGCTATGAGTGTGGAAGACAAGATCTATTATTTCACGTCTCACAGATTTGGCCGAGCTGGATTTATTCCATTGTAAAGCTGAAGCTCTTAACAACCAAAGGACTATAACCAGGTCCCCTGATCCTAGTCCCGCTTGTCTGGCAAAAGGCCCAGACTTGGGCATCAGGGGTGTCTGGGACACATGGGTGGTCAGGCAGACAGGGAAAGAGCTTGGATAGGCCACTTTCAGAGCCACGTAAAACAAGTTAGCTAGTCCTGTAGTTATTGTCATGCAGGATGTGGAGGTTTGGAAGATGGATGGGAAGCACTGTGGGCTCTGGGATAGGGGAAGGACGTCCTGACCACCGTTTCTATTCACCTCTGTCCACTGCTCTTTTCTTGCCCAGACCTATGCAGAGATGGACCCCACAACAGCGGCCTTGGAGAAGGAACATGAGGCTGTAAGTAGGGCAGGGATTCTGTCTGCAGGGGTCCCCCCCCCCCCCACTGCCCCGCTTTCTTTGCTTTGACTGAGCCATCCACTGCCCTCCACAGATCACCAAGGTGAAGTATGTGGACAAGATCCACATTGGGAACTATGAAATCGATGCTTGGTACTTCTCACCATTTCCTGAAGACTATGGGAAACAGCCCAAGCTCTGGCTCTGCGAGTACTGCCTCAAGTACATGAAGTATGAGAAGAGCTACCGCTTCCACCTGGTAAGACCACTGGGAGGGTGCTCAGCCTGCAGCGCTGGGAGACAGAGATGGTTTCAGAGGAGTGGAGGACAAGGAAGAGCTGATTCCTGCCTGGCTCTGTTTTTGCTGGAGTGACGTAGGCCAACTTGCCCCTCTGCAGACCTGTTTCCTCCTCTGCGCAATGAGGACAGTAATCCCTACTCTTACACCTTCCTTGGGTCCCTTGCCCTTCACCACAGTGTATCAAAGCCAGCCCGGTGCCAGTTTCCTCAGTGCAAAAGCAGAAGCAAGCACAGTCCCCAGGCGATAGGACTGGAAGGTGTGGACAGATGGGAGGCGTTGGTACACAGGAGCTGCCAGTGTGGGGGCCTCTCAGCACCCATGCAGCAGGGTGTTTCTCAAAGGGTGGAATCTGAGGAAACTGTATACAGTTTAGGAAACACTGTTGTCATGGGTCAGAGCCCTCTGGAGTCCTCTAGAGTCAAACTGACCCTGACTCGTGTCTTCTAGCTGTGTGATGTTCAAGCCAGTTACCTAGCCCCTCTGTGCCTTGGTTTCTTCATCTGTAAAACAAGCTCCGTTCCTCAGGTGGTTGGGAGGATTACTTGATGTGGGTCAAGTGCTGAGCCCAGGATCTACTTACAGGGAAACAGAGCAGAGATTTGCTGTAAGCTACACTGGGCAGGATGAAGGGCAGCTGGCAGAGAACCTCAGGGTCTAAAGCCTCTGTCTCTCTCCATCTCCGTCCCCAGGGCCAGTGTCAGTGGCGGCAACCGCCAGGAAAAGAGATCTATCGCAAGAGCAATATCTCTGTGTATGAAGTGGATGGCAAAGACCACAAGGTGAGCTGGGTGACCAAGGTACTTTGTTGGGGGCAGAGGGATTTGGCAGAGCACTGGCATCTCCTGGACAGTGTTCCCTGCCATCAAAGGATGGAGGCCAGCCTTAGGGTAAACAGCCCACCAGCAAAGGCCCAAGGGATTATGCTTAGCCTGTTCCTTGGCCTGTGGCTGGTGCATAGTAAACACCTGGGCTTTGATGCCAGCCTTGGGGTTGGTTTTTCTTCTTTAACTGAGGACTTTTCTCTGATGGGGTAGTTTAGGTTTGGGCAGTTCTGGAACCCGGAATGGAGATTGTTATGCTCGAGGCTGTTTCTGGAAGGGCTTTCTCTTTCTGCCTAAAGAAAAGGTTTGTTTTTCCCTGGGAGGGACCTGCTTTATGTAAGATTTCCTGCCAGAGAGCTCTGTGGCTGTGATGGCTGACTTCCTTGTTCCTGGTAAAAAGACTTTAATGGGGCAGGGTGGGGCATTTGGGATCTGCTTTACTGTTATCGAGAACCTGGACTTTGCCTGGTCAGTCTGGGAAGGTGTCATCAAATGTCCCCATTTCCTGTGGAAGGTGAGTTAAGGGTAAGATGAAGAGGGCAGGCTACTGAGTGTCTCCTGGCTTCACGTCACCCTGTCACTTCCCAGCTGACCTTAGACAAGTTACTTAATATTGTTTGTTCCTATTTCCTCATCTATAAGACAGGAGTCATGATAATATTTACCTAATCAGGTTGTTAGTGGAATAACTGAGATAGCAGTATTACATACTTAGCATGGTGCCTGGCATCAAGTAGGTGCTTAGTAATGGGCCTTTGTTATTACTGGTGACCTGTCAGTCAGCCTTGTGATAAATACGATGGGGAAGGAATATCCACTGTGAGCGTGGCCCTTATCCACTGCTCTGCCTTTTTGACTATCAGCGGGGAGGGGCAGGAAGGGCCCTAGCAGGAGGCAGCGGTATTTTCGCGGGCTCTGCCCTCTGCCAGCTTTGAGGTCTCAGGCAAGCACTTTCCCTCTCAGAGCCTCAGTCTTCTTTTAAGTAAACAGGACTAGCCGTGATGGGCTTACACTGTTGTTGGGTCTAATGAGAGTGAATACAGAAGGTGTCATACACCAGAGGGACCCTTGAGGGACCGGCCCACAGGGTGCCATGAAGCCGGCTATAAAGTCCCATTGTTCCTCCTGACGGTCTCTGCCCTGGGTGGGTGTCTGGGCCTACAGCAGGTGCGTCTCAGTGACGAGTGTGGCCTAGTGGGCAGACTGTTCAGGCTTTGGAGTCAGGCCGCAGGGCATTCGGCAAATATTTAACAAGTACCTAGTTTCATGCTTAGCCTTGTGTTAGGTGCTGGGGACATAGCCTTGAACAACACAAGTTTGAACTGAGCAGATCCACTCGCATGTGGAAATCCTGTGTACTGTTCTGGTGGGGAGCCACTTCTCACCAGCCTGGTACTTGCAGAGCAGGGTGGCAACTCCTGCCCAAGCCTCAGTGGGCTCATTGTACTTGCTTCTGAGCCTGCTTCCACCACTTCCCTCAGATTTACTGTCAGAATCTGTGTTTGCTGGCCAAGCTCTTCCTGGACCACAAGACATTGTACTTCGACGTGGAGCCCTTCGTCTTTTACATCTTGACCGAGGTGGACCGGCAGGGGGCCCACATTGTTGGCTACTTCTCTAAGGTATTGGGTCAGGAAGCCACGGTTGAGGGAGGGCAGTGAGTATGAGCTGGAGGAGGGGCTGCGCTTCCCCAGAGGCCCCAACCTCTCCCCCATGCAGGAGAAAGAGTCTCCCGATGGAAACAATGTGGCCTGCATCCTGACCCTGCCTCCCTACCAGCGCCGTGGCTACGGGAAGTTCCTCATTGCTTTCAGTGAGTAGCTCCTGTTGTGTCCAGGAAGGGGCACCCGTGGTGGGGTTAGAGTGCCAGGTGGGGCTGGGTTTGCAGGGCCCTCATTTCTCCCACTGCCAGGTTATGAGCTATCCAAGCTAGAGAGCACAGTAGGCTCCCCTGAGAAGCCGCTATCTGACCTGGGCAAGCTCAGCTACCGCAGTTACTGGTCTTGGGTCCTGCTGGAGATTCTGCGTGACTTCCGGGGCACACTGTCCATCAAGGACCTTAGGTGAGGACCCTGGTCCCCAACTCTGTCCCGGGCGTGCTGTCCATCAAGGACCTCGTGAAGGAGGTTTCCTGGAATTCTCCAAGAGGGAAGGGTTCTTCTAAGATTGGCCATGATCTTGTCTCCTTGTCCCCTTTGCTGTCCCAGCCAGACCCCACAAGGGAACTCTCCCAGCATCTGCTCCAATCCCTTTCTGCAGCCAGATGACCAGCATCACCCAGAATGACATCATCAGCACACTACAGTCCCTCAACATGGTCAAGTACTGGAAAGGCCAGCATGTCATATGTGTCACACCCAAGCTGGTGGAGGAACACCTCAAAAGTGCTCAGTATAAAAAACCACCCATAACAGGTGAGTGGGGGGCTATGAGGGTGTGCGGTGGCAGGTAGGTGTTAAGAACTACCGGGAGCCACAGCTTCCTTTTTGCTGTCACATGATCCTAAACCAAACCAGTCCGACCTGTTCCCAGGGCTGAAGCCTGGGGCAGGCTACTCATGCCTGGGCCTCCCTGCCCCCTCCCCAGGACTCAGTCTGCCCTTGTTCTCATCTAGAAGCAAAACCTGGCCCTGGCCCAGAGGCCCAGCCTTGCTTCTCATGCCTCTTCTCCCCACAGTGGACTCTGTGTGCCTCAAGTGGGCACCCCCCAAGCACAAGCAAGTCAAACTTTCCAAGAAGTGAGTGACCTGTGTCCCAGCTGCTGGACCCACACCTCCTTGGCCCCTCGCCTGTAAATATGTACAGCCTGGTGTACCATTTTTTTAAAAATAAAGTAAGTTCTGCCAGCAGCTCTGCACTTTGGGGGTGGGAGGAAGAGGCCACGAGCCGATGTTATTCATGGCACGTCACACACACAGCCAGTTGTGCTCAAAACATTTTACTCCTTCTCGCTCCTTCTACCCTCCACCCCGGACCCAAGCCCAAGGCCAAGCCCAGTTCCGGTGGGGGCTCAGTCCTCCGGAGTCCAGGGATCAGGGCTCAAGGGGGGCACGGCAGCCAGTGAACAAGGTTGGGCCTTTTTGTCCTTAAAAACATGCTCAGAGCCCTAGCCCAGAGACAGCAAGAGGGTGGAGCAGTGGGGCTCATCAGGCAGAACAGGTTGGGCCCTGGAGCCAGCCCTCCAGCAGCAATCAGCGGGGCAGTTGCCCAGTTTTCTAGAAACATGAGAGCCAGAGCACAGTTTCTTACCTAAGGTTCCTTAGGGGCTCCATAGGAACCCCACCAATAGGCTTGTGCACAGCAAGTGGCTGGAAGTTCTAGCCAGCACCACGGCAGTAAAACTCCTGGCTTTGAGTTGTAGCTCCAAGGAATAAGCCCAGCCCAGGAGAGTGGGCTCAAGGGTCAGTATGGTGCCCTGAACTTCCAAAGGGTCCTGGGAGGAAGGAGTGACTCAAATGCCCGAAGAACATGAAGGGCCAGATCCATTCCTAGGAACGGGCATCTGTCCTTGGGTACAACATAGAGATCCTGGAAGCAAAGGTCGACTCCTAGGGTAAGTCACTCGGGGCTCCCGTCATGGGTAGAGGAGGCCCAGGGTCAGAGCTAGTGGCAGCAAAAGGATGGGCCCCAGCGAACCCTGGCCTGGAGCAGAGTTGGAAGGCAGATGATTCCTGCAGAGGTGGGTATCGGGCTGGGACTCCTGGATTTGGGGCACCACCCGAGGCTGGAGCTCTGCTACGTGGTAATGAATCCAGGAGGCATAGCTGGAGGTCAGCGTATACACACCAGGTCTGTTGGGGGCCCCGCAGGCATCACCCCAGCTCACAATGCCTGCCAGGTACCAGAGGCCTCCAACAGGGCAGGAGAGTGGGCCCCCAGAGTCACCCTGAGGAGAAAAGCCATACAACAGCTATCAGGACCAGGCCTGTAGTCACCCATGCCAGCCCTCAGTTCCCAAGATGCCCTTGTTTCATGTGTTCCCCTGGACCCCCTCCCTGCATTTATCTCCCTGCATTTACCTGGCAGGCATCCTTGCCCCCCTCTACATAGCCAGCACACACCATGTCTTGCTGGATAGAGTGGGGCTCATTAGGCTTGGCGTTGATGTTGTACAAGCAGTTGCACGTTTCACGACTGATCAGTGGCACCTCAAGTTGCTGCAGTTGCCTGGGGGCCTGGAGGCTTACTGTGAGGGCAAAAGATGCTTAGCCAGGGCCTCCTACCCTGAGTCAGGCTCCCTCTATGCCTCTAGACATCAGCGCCCCACCTCACCTGAGGGGGCCACATGGCCCCATCCAGTGACAGTACATTGGAGGCCATTGGGGAAGGAGGCGTTGGCTGCAGGGAGGCAGATAGGCCGGATGTAGCGAGAGAAGGTGATGGGACTGTTGAGACGGAGGAGCGCAATATCCCCCTGGGAACCCTCGTGATGGTAACTGGTGTGGGAAATGACCTGTGCCACGGTGCGGACTTCGGCCGAAGGGGTGTAGGAGTCCAGCTGGTGGGCCCCTAGCTTTACCTCGTACTCTTCCTTGAGGTGCTCCCTGCAAGCAGCGGGGCAAAGGTTGGGACCCAGACCTATTTCGGCATCTGACCCCAGACTGTGATCCCAGGCAAAGGACTTTTTAGGACCCACACTGCCCTAGTTTTACCCTGTGACCTGTGACCTCTGGCCTTCACTCCTGACCGGCCTTTCAGACTTTGATACCCCATAGACCTAATCCAAGAACGCCAACCTCTAGTCTAAACTGATCCCTGAACTTTGACCCCCCAGCCCACTTTTGATTTCCCTTACCTTGCACCCAACCCATTTGGTACCTTGGAAAGCAGTGAGCAGCAGAGAGCACCCACTGATCAGACACGAGAGAACCACCACACACATGGATGCCGTCATAGATGATGCTGACCTGCCAGGGCCACTGGCCAGGGGTTGCACTGTTACCGCCTGTGATGCGCGCTTGGGAGGCCACACCGCAAAAGGCTGCCCAGGGAGGAAGGAGAGGGAGTCAGGGCCTTCCGGAGCCCTCATACAATGTCCTTAGCCCTGCCCCTCCCAATAAAGCCCAGGAGATCTGTTTCGGAGCTTAGAAAGTGAGTTCATAGAAGTCAGCTACCCCTTTCTCCCCATCCCACTGCTCAACAGGCATGGTCAGTTTTGCCACCTTGTCATCCTTGACCCATCTATTACCTCATTCAGGTCTCATACAGCTTCCTTTGTTTCCTGCCTTCCATCCCATCCACCCCTTCCAAGTCTGAAGACCTTTATAAATGAGAAATCTGGCCAGGTGACACCCCTGCTTAAATCCTTCCCTGGCTTCACACCGCCCTTAAGATACAGTGCAGATCTTCCATGACACTGCCATCTACTCCACCTACCCATCTGGACACTTCCTGTCACAGACATGGGGGCATATACTTATTCACCTTTAGATCTTGGCTTGTCCAGGTCACTGCCTGGGATACCTTGCCTCGTCTGTCCTTTGCCGGAGGAACTTCACTCTGCCCCTCCTTAGCCTGCCCTGACCTGCTGAGTCAGGCAATGCACCAGAGCTCCCAGGGCCTGTGCTTCACATGATTGCTCTGTGTCTGCTTCAGCCACACCAGCCTGGGAACTCCCAGGGCAGGGGCCAGAGTGGAGCCCCACGTGTCCAGTGCCCAGCATGGGGCTGGGCACAAAGAGGGAGCCAGGGATGCGTGTGTTGAACAAAGGAACAACAGCACTGGGCTCCCGGTGTGAAGGCCACCCCGCCCCCACTGAGGCTGGCTGTTCAGAACACGACCCACTGCCTTCACAAAGTCACCTTCCCGGGAGCAGAGAAAACTGCCCAGCCCCGCTCCTCCTCCTCTCCTCTCCTTATAATGACAACAGCTACTATTTAGTGACTGCAAACAATACAAGGCCCCGAAGGGGCTTTCACTTCCTCTGTGTTTTGGACTCCCCATACAGCCCCAGGAGATAAACATAATCATCTTCATTTGAAAGGGGGACTAGCCAACCACACAGCTAGTAAGTGGTGAAGCCGGGACTGAGCACCTTGCCTCAGAGCCTGGTGGTGTGCCTTCGAAGAAAGGAGACCTCGGAACAACCCACATTAGGACTGAGACCTGGGTTTAAATCTCAGCTCTGCCACACACTGGTTGTGTGCCTTTGGGCAAGTTACCTCTCTGCATTTGGTTTCTGTATCTGTAAGATGACGCTACAATCCCTGTCTCACAGAGCTATTGGGGGACTCAAGTAAAACAACTAGGGGTGAGGCCCTAGGTGGATAGATGAGTTGGTTAGAGGGTCATCCCGATATGCTGAGGTTGTGGGTTAGAACCTTGGTCAGGGCACATAACAAGGAGCAGCCGATGAATGTGTAAAGGAGTGAAACAACAATAAATGTTTCTCGAATCAATAAAATAAAAATATTTTTTAAGTTATGGGGGAGGGGTGAGACAGCCTGGCAGAGAGTGGCCGGCACTCATTAAACACTTCATGGAAATCGGAATCTGTGTCCCCTCTTCTTCCCCTCCCCCATTCCCCTTTCCACAAGCCTCACCTTCGGACCCGGCCCCGGCAGCTCCTGGAAGACAAGGGGCACAAGGCAGGGTAAGCAGAGAAGACCAAGTTCCCAGACTTCCTAGCAGCTGCCCCTCCCCCCAGAAGCCAAAGCTCACGAGCTGGGGAGCTGGGAGTTCTTGAGCCCAGGGTAAGGGACGTGCTCCAGGAATGGGTTAAACCCTGGCCCCTGTGCACCACCTCCCCCCCCCCCCCCCGCCACACCCTACCCGCACATGCTCACTCACCCAACCCGGACCGGAATAATCCAAGCAAAAGCAGAATGGCCATAGTCTCCAGCTGCCTAGGCCCCAGGCCTGCCCTCTGGGCCATGGCCCAGGATGAGGGCCCCTGGGGAGACACCAGGCACTCAAGGGAAGACACGGAGGACTGGTTTCGAAGGCAACTTTCAGGTGTTGGACCCAGAGAGAAGGGATGTTGGAATCCGTGCTTGGAAGATTGGTGCTGCTGTCCAAGGCTGGCTTTGAAGTCAGGGAGCAGGCACAAAGGGAGACGATGGAATCTCAGCAACCCTCAGTGAGGACACGTCTCCAGTACTGCCTGGCTCCACAGAAAACTTCAGAGTGGCAGCTCCTTGGGGAAAAGCACTTACCTGCCCGCCCCTCCCTTGGCCCCGCCCTCCCCACTCAGCTCTGCCAGCTTCTTACTTCACCAACGTCCGGAATCCTCCCAGACCCCCAGGTGTGTGTGGCGAGAGGTGGGGGTGGGGGTGGGGCGGGGGTGGGCGCACGCGTGCGGGGGGGGGTGGGGTGGGAGTGATCAACCGGAGAGCAGCCCCGGGCAGGGCTGGAAATTGGAATGTCCAATGATCCAGCTCCCTGGAGGGCCACCCAGCTGCTCTTGGCCCTAGGTCTTTCAGGTCTCCCAAACCAGTTATGCCTTCCAGGGGTTGGCTCCGCCAAAGACGCTCCTCTCCACCTCCCTTCTGAGGCCCCGTGTCTGAACCTAGGACACCTGGGTCTGCCCCAGGCTAGGGCAGGTTCTGGGCCTTCTGTAGAGCCTGCAGCCTCATCTGTGTTTGATGAGGTGTGGTGAGCGTGTCTGGCAGTGCCAATCATCTCCCAAATATTTACTGGGTGCCTCCTCTGTTCCAGACACAGGAGTAAAACAGCATCCCTGCCTTCCTCGAGCTCACCCTGAAGTAGGGATGACACCTTGCCTCAAATAACCACAGAAGCAATTATAGCATAATTTCAAATTAGGAACTGTGATAAAGAAAGGGTAATGGGGGTTCTGGGAGTCATTTACAGGAGCCTGACATAGGCTGGCAACAAGAAGGGCTCCTCA